TTGCTGCAGTTTAAGATGATTATTTCTTGTCCCACCTATACACATGGAGGGCAGTTGATTACATCCTCTTTATAATAGCCCTTAATATATTTGAAGACCTCAAAAGGTCCCCTCTCTCTCTTCTTTTCTCAAGATTAAACATATCCAGTTTTTTTAAGCTTTCCTTATAGGTAAGGTTTTCTAAACCTTTTATCACTTCCGTTGCTCTCCTCTGGACTGTTTCCAATTTGTCCACATCTTTCTTAAAGCTTAGTACCCAAAACCGAACATAATAATCCATTCGAACCTTACCAGCACTGAGTAGAGTGGAACAATTACCTCCCATGTCTTACTCCTCTTAATACACTCCAGCATGATATTAGCCTTTTTCACCACTGCATCACATTGTTGACTCTCATCCACTATAACCCCCAGATCCTTCTCAGCAGTACTACTGACTAGCCAGTCATACACACTTTGTATTTGTGCATTTAATTTTTCCTTCCTAAGTGCAGTACTTTGCACTTGTCTTTACTGAAGTTCATCTTGTTGATTTCAGACCAATTTGTCAAGGTCATTTTGAATTCTAATCCTTTCCTCCAAAGTGATTGCAATTCCTCCCTGCATGGTGTCATCCGCAAATGTTATAAGCATACTCTCCACCCCATTTATTCAAGTCATTAATGAAAATATTGAATAGTAACCATTGATGACTGCTTGAGTATGGTCTTTCAACCAGTTGTTCACCCACCTTATAGTATTTTCATCTAGATGACATTTCCCTAATTTTCTTGTGAAAATATTGTGTGATAATATGTCAAACGCCTTACTAAAATCAAGATATATCACTGCTTCCCCACATTAGTTAGGCCAGTAACTCTGTCAAAGAAGGAACTTAGGTTGGTTTATTATTATTTGTTCTTGACAAATCCATGTTGGCTATCGCCCTATTATCCTCTAGATGCACAGTAATTGATTGTTCAATAATTTGTTCCAGTATCTTTCCAGATATTGAAGTTAGGGTGACGAGATCTATAGTTCCTGAGGTCTTCTTTGTTTCCCTTTTTTAAAGATAGGTACTAAGTATAGAACAGTCTAGGATGCATGACTATGCAGTTGTCAAGGTAACCTATTATCATAGATTTACACACACAACTCCAGTTAGCATAGGAGTTGTATGGCTGAATCGGCACAGACTGATAGAATTTCTTTTGGGGTACTTTGTATAGTATTAGTACACATATACGCCCGTGTTGTAATCACTGAATGACGCATTTCAACAAGTTACATTACAGTCTTTTTGAATTTGCATCCTAATCTTAGTACAGGCACCACAATGCCACTTTAATGTCACATGGCACTCAACTAATAGAGAAGGCAGAATGATGTCATGCGGTCAAATGATTTTATTGCAAATTGCAGTTGTGGGATCCTGCCTACTTCCAAGATAACAATCTTAAAGATTCAACCATACTGAGAAACATCATCAGTGTTCACACATTAACTAATATTTTAGTACCTTTTACACTTGTAGCATTCTAATGGCAATCTGGAGTAATCGTGTGAAAGGAATAAGAAAGTAGAGATCTACAGCTACTACTCATATAGAAAAATATAGTAGTGAAAAATATTTTGAAGATTAATATTCAATTGCATTGTAATTAATGCATTGGTTACAATATGGGAGATATTTTAGGTTTAACATTTCATATTGCACGTGTCATTCCTGTCCCCACTGCCAGTATTTATGATAACAAATCTGAGACTTTCTCTTTTATCTTATCTTCGTTGTGGGCATTAAATCTGGCCTTTGTATTTACTAGGTATAGGATTTGCCCTTCTTAACACAGTGAAATATTAGCTTAGATTATTGTAAATTGTAGTTCCTACTGGTTCTTTACAGGGTTTGATGAGATGGAATGAACAGTTGATAAAGGGGAATGGAAAACAGTGAGCAGCTTAGAGAATCCTAGGAACTGAATGATTTTTTCCCCATCTTCTTATAAAATGATATTGTCTGAATCAAATGTGCAAGGGTTCCCACACATGCTGTTACAGACAAGAAACATAGAAGAACACAAATGGTTACACTAATGTTATTTGCAAAAAGAAAAGGAGTACTTGTGGCACCTTAGAGACTAACCAGTTTATTTGAGCATAAGCTTTCGTGATGCTCAAATAAATTGCAAAAAGAAAAGGAGTACTTGTGGCACCTCAGAGACTAACCAATTTATTTGAGCATCACGAAAGCTCAATAAATTGGTTAGTCTCTAAGGTACCACAAGTACTCCTTTTCTTTTTGCGAATACAGACTAACACGGCTGTTCCTCTGAAACCTGTCAAATAAATTGGTTAGTCTCTAAGGTGCCACAAGTACTCCTTTTCTTTTTGCAAATACAGACTAACACGGCTGTTACTCTGAAACCTGTCACTAATGTTATTAATATTTAGTGGCACCCAATAGACCCACTATTTTTCAGTGAGTTAACTCAGCCATAACAGTTTGTACTGAAATCAGACTTGCCATTAAAGATCCCAAGGGTGTACTCCTGAGCTCCAAAAAAGCTGCTTTTTTGCATGGGATTGATTGTCTTTCTTATGCACTTTGCGAGCAAGATGCATATAGTGTATTTTGAAATGCAAGTGTAAACATTGTTTAAATCTGAACATAAAACTTATGCATTTTAAGTGAGTTTTGTTCATTATGGTCCACATTCAATGCTGGTATAAGTTCTGATGGAGCTACACCAGGGATGACTTTGGCCTGATATGTTTGAATACACCTATCTATGTAAACATTATAATAGGTAATTAGATATGAGGTAACACTTCAAAGATGGATCAAATCCACTTCCTTTAATATTGACTTTCTTTAAAAGTACCTAAATATAGCCTACCAGCTAAATCAATTTTGAAAAAAACTGACAGTGTTACCCAACATACCACAATAACTCTGCATGTTTGTTGCTCTTGGGCACACACATTTTCTTTTTACAGATATATATGTAACTGTTGGATTAGAGTGGTCCAATCCTACCAGCCTTCCAAGCAGACCTATGGTTGAGATCAGTCAGACACATGCCTGCATAAATCAGTGGCCAGAATGAGCCAACTCTATTGAAGCAGTTACAGTTTTCCAGTGTAACGGACACAATTTGAGAAGTATTCACTAATGTTGTATGCCCCAGTCTTTGGGTGACCAATCTGAGACATAGTGCCGGATTTCAGAGGTGTTGAGAGCCCAATGGCCTTCAATAAAAAATCTTCAGACTTTTCCCTGTTTTTGTTCTTGCATAAAACCATGAGCACTGGAAATCACACACACCTACATTTGAGTAATACTAAAACATGTACTTAAACCTGCCTAAGTGAGGAACTTCAGCTATATAGATGCCAATGCTCCATTCTTTGTGTACCAATCCCAATGACTTTGATAGGTATCTTGGGTGCACAAGGAATGCCATACTGGTATTATAGTTAGGCCATATCCTGCCCTGGTCCACCTGCCCTGGCTGGATTAAGACAAAGTGGGGCCTGAATCCAATCCAACCAAAGTGTTTCGCAACGAACCAAAGGCCCTGCACAACAAATCAAAGAGCCCAATACTCCTGGTGTAAAAGTGCCCCTGGCACTCTTGGCTCCTTGCCTTGCCAATGCTACATCTTGCTTCCCAAGTCCCACAGAATACTTTAGCTCTCTATTGTGACAGCGTTCCCTCCTGAATCTAAACTCGTTGGGTCCCTGGGCACTGTCACAGTCCAAGGCATACAACCGCAGATCTGTGGATTCTACTGTCGAACATGGAACTCATAATGGTATCAGTGACCATTTTAAATTGGGAATTGAAAGGTGACTATGGCCCTTAAGGCTGAAATTTTATCCTTAACTCTTCTCACTGTTCCCAAGTATGACATGATCAACAAACACAAAGAAGCCCTCAGGTGCCATAAGTTCTACAATACTAGGTCTGAAGACAGTGTTTCCCCCTTCCTTAGAAATTTCCTCACATCTAAATTTGTATTTTTATTGATGCTATTTGAGTGCAATTTTAAAATGTAGCTTCAGCTGTTAGTACAAAAAAACCCAACATGTGTGACTGAGAGAGATGCGCCCAAATTGGAAAATCAGATTAGAACCCCTTTGACTGTGGATGTGGTTCAGACTTGAATGCCCAGATATTAACTGCATCTAAGGTTTGGGTTAGGTTGAATTCTAAACTGGCAGGTGTGTGTTTTCTGATTCTGTTTTCGAAGGAACCAATCTCTCACCAAATAAACAGTTAGCTTTCTTGAGCTTACTGGTCTAAATAAAAAGAAAAGGAGTACTTGTGGCACCTTAGAGACTAACCAATTTATTTGAACATAAGCTTTCGTGAGCTACAGCTCACTTCATCCGATGTAGCTCACCAAAGCTTATGCTCAAATAAATGTGTTAGTCGCTAAGGTGCCACAAGTACTCCCTTTCTTTTCGTGAATACAGATTAACACGGCTGCTACTCTGAAAACTGGTCTAAATAGTCCACCCTTTGGGGCTGATATCTAAAGAGAATGGCTCATGAGCTTTGTGTGTAGAGTCCAAAATCTAGCTTCTCTTCAATACCCTGTCTCCCAACAAAACCCCGAACCAGATCCAAATCTCCAAGTCCTGTTGTGTGTTGTACATACATGAAAAAAGGCACAGGGCACAGGCTTTACAAGTATAGGACTGTGGGATATTTAGAGGAAGATGGCTTATTTGTTATATAAGTGCTTTTTTAGAGTATTTGGGAGGGTTTCACTAGATATCCTATAGGGAAAATTCACAGATATCTATTTTGGTAATCCTAGAGAAGGGGGCAGGTGAAAATACACTAAAGGGACTGATCCTGCACTGGCTGGCACAGACTGGGTGCCCTGGCAGGTCTTTCCCAGCCCTAGCATGTATGATTCTGTGACATTTTGATGTGTACCAAACCCTTTTTGCTAACCTTTTGGTGGACTTCAGGTCCAAACCTTGCAATAACCAGTAAAGAGGTAACATACCCACTTTCAGCTCTTTTCCAAAGACCGTCCTTTCCCCCAAGGCAGAGCAATTCCAGCGTCCATTTCGGAATTGAAATTGACATTCGTTGATTCCCATTTGAGACCCTTCTCCGATCACTATGATAGCATCGGGTCTGCTCTGACAGATTGCCCTCTGTCTAGGAGCTAAACCCGGGATCTTGTTACAGATGATGCTGGCCCCCAGAGCCACCACAGAGGAAAAACCCCTGGAATGAGAGAAGAAGGGGGAAAGACTCAGAACAAATAAAATTAGTACCGCAGCTTTCAGAGCCAATCGATTCCTGAGGCGGCAGCCTTCTTACAGGCGCTTTCAGAGGGAGGCATCTTCTCACTTCAAAGCATGTTCTCTGCCTTGAAAGCGCTTTCAACCTAGGATTTCCACATTCACGCGAAAAGAAAAGGAGCACTTGTGGCACCTAAGAGACGAACAACTAACACGGCTGCTACTCTGAAACCTGTCACATTCACGCTGTGACAGTACCTTTAGTGACCTCTCCCCGGAGCAAGCGGTTTTCAGGCCGCTTTGTGTCAGTCAATAGACTGGTGTAAAGGAGATAAAGGGGCTGATCCCCAGCGGAGGACAGAGAAAGCCCCATCCTCTGTAACCCTGCTGGGGTATTCACGAGGCACCGTGCGTTTAAAGCCCTCCCCCGGCTGTTGGCTCATGCCACTGATAGATTACGGCACATACTCCAGCAAAACCAAACCATCATTTTACTCAACCAGCCCCTGGCCAAGACCACCCCAACTTTCTGCTGGGCTTCTTGCCCTCCCCAGACCGTCCCTTGCGGAGCCTGGGGATAAGACTAGAATAATGACGTTTAAAGGAAAGAGCGGATCAATTTCACGGACATCAGAGCCTCGCCCTCCCCCCCCCCCCATCATTTTTTTTCGGTCTATAATTAAAAGAGAGATAAAGAGCGCGTGGGCTTTGCCATAACGTGACCCAACTTCCTGATTCATAAGTTAGAGCGCATGCAACTCTAGCGCCCAGAACAGGGACACGCTCCAAGGGCTGGGGGGTTATTATTATTATCATCGTCGTTGTTTTATTAAGCTATTAAATTAGTGCAGTTAGGAAAAATAAAGCGGCCCCTCCCCTCCGATCCTGGGCTGCCGCCCCACTCCCCGCCCTTGCAGAATAACGCCTCTGACTTGGGTGAGGTGTAATGCTAAAAGGTGCTGCTGATCTACAAGTGAGCGGAGCGGGTCTGGCTCCGGATAGCCGGAGCGCTGGCGCGTATTTTATTTCCCGTTGCTTTTAATAAATAAAAGCGCCCACTTTGACCAGTCCAGCAGCTAATGGCAGGGTGACCCATGGCGGCCCTGCGAGATCGCTGTTGCGCGCCCAGGGGACAGGCGCAGGTCCTTATCCCCCCTCAGCAACAGTCCATCAAGTAGTTTGCACCTGGGAAGAGAGGAGATGGTTTCCCCGGAGGTCCCGGGGGAGGAAAGGGTAGGGAGCCGGCGGCTACTCTCGCCGGTGCTCGCTCTCCTGAACGGCTGACAAATGTCCTTTCAGATCCCATTGAAGCGATACTCGCCATGCATGTGAAAGCAGAGTTTGGTTTGATTTCAGGGGATACGGTAGGTACAGAAAGAGCATAAAAATAACCCCAGCACATTGCCATTCCAGTCATGCTTCCGGCACATCACCAATGACTTTCACATTCCCCAGCTCTACACGACACACCAAGAATTCACTGAAAGGCAATAGCATTTCTGCTCTGTCTTTAATAAAAAATAACAACAGTCTTCCAAACTTTCCCAGATAAATATTAACAGGTCTGGACAGGATAGGCAGAGAGAAATCGTTTGTGTGTGGGGTTTTTTTTTTTAAGTTACTTACCCAATTTTGATATATACAATCCCTAGGCTCAGAAAGATATGGAAAATCCAACGCCTTGTTTTCCTGTTCATATTCCTTGTTTGCTGTTTTTCAGATCACCATGCAAAAGGATGCCTCTAATGCTATTCGTGCTGGTTAATTTCTCGTTGCCTCAGACAGTGCAGCTCCGGGTCAAGGTAGTGCAGACAAAACAGACAAACCCTCTTGTGATCTGAACAGGCGGTGTGTGTTTGTAAATCCCAAGAGACAAACACCATATCCCTCAGCTGGGTCTCTCTCTCTCTCTCTCACTCACTCACCCACCCTGTGTCTGTCTGTCTCTCTCTCTCTCTCTCTCTCTCTCTCTTTTTCTTTTTATTCCGGATTTGTATGCCTGTCACACGTAATACTTTAGTGCTGGGAATGTATAGGCTGCAGTGATCGCTCTCTGCACGCAGCAGCTCTGGATCTCTCCTCAGGTTCAATGTTACTATCTATCTCTTCTTTTTTCCCCTCTCTTCTTCAGCTACTTGGGCGTGTTCTCCAAAGGAGGGAGTTGTCCAGCCGGGAGGTGGGGGAGTGAGGGGGGAGAAGGGAATAAGAAAGCGCAAACAGACCACCTGCTTGTAAAGAAGCACCACCGATTCTCCTAAGCGGAAGGTGGGTTTCTGCAGTCCTTCCTTAAGTCAAGGATCAGGGAAAGGAGCATAGACGCTACTGAATGACAGCCCCAACTAGAAGGAGTGTAACAGGTTAATTTCCTTATGAGACACTGCAGTAAATACGCTCGTGAAGCTATGCAGAACCCCCCAAAGGTGTGCAAACCTCCTGACACTTTAGTATGCTAGGCTACACCGATCTGCATTGCTTTAATCTTTCGCTAGGATGATCCGTTTTCCCTTCTCCTTTCTCTTCATCGTTTAGGGTTTTCCAAGCTTTCTTTCCCTCCCCCCCCCCCCCCCCCCCCCCGCCGTACTCTCGCTTCGTTGTTGTGTGGTTTTGTTCCCTGTCAGGGAGGGAAGGGGGATCTGAAGTTTTATGTGGGGATAGTTTTCCTGTTTTGCTCTGTGGGGTGAACATACCGGCTGATTTTATGTGTTTGCCACCAGCCCAAATGCTCCTCCCCTCTTTCTGCCTACCCACTTCTTAATTTTTTCATCTCACTTCCCTGCACCCCCGTCCCCCTCACCCCCCCCCCCCCCCGATTTCCGAGTCAGGATTAACAAATGATCACTGAGATAAACCCTCTCCCAGCAGCAGCGTCCCTGTCAGCCAGGGGCATGGCAGAGGCTGCTTGAGAAAGAGAACTCTTTCTGTGTTCAGCACCACTGAGCGAAGTCCTCAGCCCAGGACAATTTAGATCGTATCTACTTGTATTAAAGGAAGGCTAGACTACCAGACAACAGCCGAGAGAGAAAAAGCTCATTGTTGCCTAAAGACTTCGTCGGTTGCCCTTTCCACTTATTTTTTGATTGATGTATTTAATGACAAAGATGGGGGCATTTAGCTGCTCGCCCGGTGGCAGTCAAGTGTCCTGCTAGGGGCTCTTTGTGTCAAAGCCGAAAGGATGGTTTCGGATCAGGTATCACTGGGCATTAGCCTACTAGCTGTCCCCCATCAGGAGAAAGTGTATAGCAAGGAGCTACTGGACATCATCATCAGTACAATGCTTTTAAGAGAAAGCAATTCTATACAAACCGGCTGAAGCATTTACCTAGTCTGCTTGCCCTTCACTTTCTTAACCTTGTTTGTTGCCTGGTTGCTAGCGAACCTCACTGGTTTTGCAGCATATGTGCCTATTCCCCATAGCTGTAGTTCTTGATTACCTTCTTACAGTTGTTTGTCAGGTTTGGGGGTGGGGGCTGATTTTGCTGCTTAAAACACCGTGAGCAGGAGCCTTTAACAATGCTCACTTGTTGGAGAGGGTTTTGTGCGGTCATGGGGTTGCGGGAATTAACGCGGATACGGTGACTATATTTTTATCTGCTTAAAATATATCAGACAGGGAGGGTTACCTAAATGATAACAGGGGTGTGGTGCTGGAATTGTTCTGCTCATAGTATTTTTCTGAAAACCAAAAACAATGACAGGGCTTCATGATTTGTACTAGAAAGTTGATTTGAAATAACTGAGTAAGTTTGAAAAGCTAGGAATAGGAAAGCAATGTACAAACGTTCTATTAATTGACTGGTTAGTGGCTGGGCACTGGTACTCAAGGCAATATGAGCTGTTAAAAAATCCACACTTAAATCCTGAAGTGTTTGCTTATGGAACTGGGTGGCTCTACCCCACGAAGATCCCCCAGATAGGTGTGAGATTGTAACCCTTTGGCGTTAACACAAAAACAAATCACCATTATTCTGAGCTATGTTCACAATCATTTGTGTGTATACATGTGTACTGTGAGGGTGGTTCTTCTTTCTGTGTGTTTTGATGTAACAAAAGTTTCATTTTTATATCAAGTTTCTTTGGCAACTGTTCCCTTAGGCATATATTTAGCCTGGTTCAGACTGCATGAGGTGGATGATCAGCTCTGCACCTTGTGATCAAAACAAAATAAAATGTGAGGGGGAAACCACATGTGCAAACTTTACACACACACCGGGGGGACGGGGGAGGGGACTATTTGAAGCACAGATGAACCACAGATTTGTTCTGATAATACCTAGAGAGGAGACAAGGTAAGTTTTCTTTGTAAATGCACCATCTAGTGGAAGAAAATGGGTCCTGCATCTAGCACTAAATGTTAACGTCAGTACCTGAGAGAAAATTATGAGTAAACCCCACGGGGGGATTTGACTTTGGTCTCAACTAAAATGTTCTGCTTTTAAAAAAAACTTGCGGAACCCAGAATTCAGATAAGACAGAAATTTTTTGGTGGTGTTTTAAATCACTTATTGAAGTGTTAGCACTGGCAGTCTAGTTTGCACTGCACAAGACAGCTCAATTTTTCAAAACCAGGAGTCAAAATTAGAACCTTAAGGTCAACATCCAGCAGCTCCCACTGAAATCAGTGGGAGCTCAGCACTTCTGAAAATCAGGCCACTTTCATTTAGATACCTAATTGTGGATTTGGGAGGTTAACTTTGGGCACTTGGGTTTGAACTTTTTGGCCGTGTTTCCTGCCCAAGGCATTTGCAGTCTCAGATGGAAAATGTTTTAAGGTATGACTACAACCTACACTAGGTCAGAAAGTTACCCAGCACCATGTCCAGAGCAGTATTACACATGTTCTATATTGCATACGGTATTTTCCAAGCACCTCAAAGGGCATATTTCTTAGAAGCAAGGCAGCAAATAAATGTTAATTTTAGATACTAATGATAAAATATTAATTATAATGATTCCTACTGTAGGAAAACCCATGGAAAAGGGTGAAATCCATGAAAAGGCATGCATAAAAATGTTGTTCCTATTTGCACTGCATTATCCCCCCAGATCAGCATGGCTTATCACTTTGTGTTGTTTCTCACAGTGAGCCCCACTGCTGGCTATCATGCTGGAAAATGCATGTAACACCATCTACTGCCATATGGATCAGGTGTGGAAGAGGGGGACAATAGCATTCTGTAGTAGGCATGCTGAGTACTTTGGAGAGCATGGTGTCCTGAACATACACACTCTCAGAATTGATCGCATTTGTATTCAAATGGGCCCCTGGAGAGTATATAAACAGCCTATTTGGACTGTGTAGGACAGTGTTGCACAGAGGAACATTTTCCCGTGAATGTGTTTCACACCCAAGTTACATTGGTTTAGTAGGGAAGCATATGCACTATCTGTGTTTCCCAGACCCCCAATTTTACACTGTGCAGAAGTGCTGCAGATGTTGGAAACACAATTTATCTTTCTAACCTATCTGCATTTCCAAAGTACCTATTGCCATAGCATATGCTTTGCCTGTACCGAATTAGGGCAGGGACCATATTTTTTGTGTTTGTACAGCACCTAGCACAATGGGGTTCTGATCCATGACGGTGGGGCATCTAGTCACTACTGCCATAATAATACAGGCAGTTCCATGGGATTTGAGGAGTTTCTACCCAGGGATCTTGGCCTTACATGAGAGTGGGAGGCCATTACCCTGGCCACTAAGTGCCCTATAAACCTCCCTCAAGGAAGCCAGACTGTGACAGACTTAAACTGCACCTCCAAGCCTCCCATATGAAAATAATCCCCACACTTCCATGTGGATGATCCCAAGACTTTTTTTCACAACACTGTTATTTAACTTTTGGTTTTTTGTCTCTTACTACTTTGCTGTCATGCAGTGCTGTAGCCATATCAGTCCCAGGATAGTAGAGAAAGAAGGCCGGTGAGGTAATATCTTTTATTGGACCAGCCTCTGCTGGAGAGAGAGACAAGCTTTTGCTCTTACAGAGAGCTCTTCTTCTTCCGTCTTGCTGACATGTGATTAAATGGTTTTGTATTCACGTTAAAGAGGTGCACAATGTACTCCTGTTTCTGTACATTTTAGAATTCCAGACCTTGCATGATTTTCTGTATATTGTTGCTCCTTGGCCAAGTGGTGGTAGACTTCGGAGCCCTGCAGTTTTGTTTCTCATTGGAAGAGAAATCAGTGATGCAGAGCCTGGGTATTTTTTTAGTGTAACTTGTTTTATTTACACTATATTCAACAGTCATTGAACAGATGTGATCACAAACAGCAGGCAGACAATCCCCTTTCCGGAATCTCAGCCCAAACACCAATGTCTGCTTCCCTGAGCTAATTTCTGCCCCAAGAAATTGACTAGTTAAAGATATTAACGCAGAAAACAAGCTCCCTTGCTGCTTGCCACAGCCCCCCTAAAAGAATAGACATAAAAAAATTAACAACAATGCAGCATTTCATCAAAAATTCAACACTGTTCACACACTGAGAGAATTCTTGAGACTGTGTAATAGTGCCATCTGGTGACTTCTGCCCTAACAATAGTTATCGATGCATATATATATATGACAGTATCATATCTTTCCTATGGGTTAGTGCTTACGCCCAAAGCAAGTTTTAAATGACACTTCAAATTTAAGTGCTGCATTAACAATAATACTGATGTTTCTAATGATGCTGTAAAACAATAGTTCTCTTACCCACACTTTTGCTTGAACTCCACATATAATGGGAACAGATTGTGTGGAAGGTTATACCCAGTCTACAGTGCTGAGATCTTGACCAGCTGTAGTTGTTATAAATTCAGAAATGTACATTGGGTGTTGAGACCAAACTCATCTCTAAACATTGAAGAAATAAGAGAGTAATTTAAAATGCCCACTCCAGATTCAATTCATGTTCCCTGCTGTCTTCTAATTTGATATGCAAAATAAGATAAAATTCAGGAGCTCTTTAGAATTCAATCCCTGTTTTTTTCTTTGTTGTCTCTGATACTGAACCTAGAAACACTTGATTTTCCCAGCTGATATGAGTAGCATGAAAAACTCTAGGTCAGCTGTTTGTCTGAAGAAGTAACAGTCTAGGTTAAGACCAAGCACATTGTTGTCTCCTTATGGTTCAACACCACAGCAAAAGCATGAAGCACAAAACCCTCCTCAGAAAGTGGAGTCAAATCGCTTACTGTGCTGTTGACTTTCTCTTATTCTGTTGGTTCACATGATATTTACTTTGTGCTGAGGTGTGTGTATATAGTGAGCCTTTGCAGAGTGTAATGTGTGAAGACAGGGTATCTGGCTTGGTGAGGTGTCTGATAGTGTATTAGTCCTAAATTGCTCTATAGACCCTCCCAACAGTCTCTGGAGCCTAATCTAGACTTCTCACTTGTTTTGCCTAGCCTATAATGTGTCTATACGCACCATTTTCCTTTACAGTGTGCCTATTAGATAGCATTTAAACATTATACAATAAAACCAGTACA